TTTCTTTTATAAGACTTACCATGATTAGGGTGTCTTTTCATGGCACCAGAACAGTGACCAAGACAGGCCCCTGCAGATACTTATATCTGAATGCTTGGTACCAGTTAGTTGAACAGTTTGGGAATGATTCTCAGAGATTTGTCACACCATTCCTTATTAGTGTGCATCCCTTTCCTCACTAATTCACTAGGTATTGCTCTAGTACCATGGCTGCCTGCGTATTGCCACACTCCCTATCACCATGATGGTTATGGAATTCTAATCCTCTGCAACTGTGAGCCCCAATAAATGATTCTTTTATATGTTGTTTTTGTCACGGTGTCTCCTCCTAGCAATAGAACAGTAACTAAGGAGCCAAATGTCATGTTTTCCATTGATGACACTGGAAAAATGGTATCCACATGCAAGTTAATGAAACTGGGTATCTATCACTCGGCAATTATAAAAATCAAGTTAAAATTGATTAAAGAGTGATTCCAAGATATGAAACTTCTAGAAAGGCACTTACCTGACACAAACAAAGCACTGGGTTTGATCCCGATCATTGCATAGAAAATGAAATTTGGAAAGATGGGTATGTCTGACCTGACCTAAACATTATACAACATATTACATGTACTGGAACATTACAGCTTCATTTTATGTGTTTATTCATCAACTAAAGGCAAATTTAATTAAAATGTGTGTTTAAAACAAAGAATCCACTGCTTCTTTTTCTTGTTATCAGCCTTTTCAAAGATCTAGGATTTTCTTGTATGTAACCTATCCTTTTGCCTGAGTTTAGAAAGTTCCAAATAATATAACACTACTTTAACCACTCTAAAGGGTATTTCTACAATAAAACGGACCAATTGGGGCTTTTTTAAAAATATTACAAAGTAATATAACTTTATCAATGACAGAAACTTCAAAAAGCAAGCTTTTATTAATGAGAAATATTCATGTTCTCTTTGTCCACAAACACAAACACACCCTCCAGAAGAAAGCTGAATCATGTTCCAACTGGCAAAGTCACCTTGACCATTCCTAACCCGAAAGTCGGCTAGAGGAATTGAATTCTGTACAGCCCACTAATTTTCAATTGGGAGGGGCTATTTTTAAAGTATTTTTATATACCAAATGGGTTTAATACTCAGACAAACTACAGCATGGTAAAGAATTTATGATGTCACCTGATGCTTATTCTAGTAATTGATTCAGTATCAAAGGAAAATATCCTAGACAATGGGGATCACTAATAAAGGAAAGGCAATCAAAAACAACAACAGAGGAGACCCTTAACATTAAGAATTTACTCTCCTGCAGGAATCCCATTCCATTAAAAAACTGTTATGTGGAAGAAAAACAGATAACATGCACACTCATGCTAGCTCAGAAGAAAGGGAATCAGAGATGATGGTCAGAACATGCTCCAAAGAAAGGCCCATGGTAAACAACGTCTTAGGGAACTGTGGGTGAGGCTCCAGGATAAAAAACAGAGGGCCTTTTACCTCAGGTGTATTTTGTTCCCTGCCTTGTTCCTGGACGTGATTTTTTTTGCCTCCTATGTTAAACATTTGCATTTAATTTATGACGTGTTTGTTTTTGTTGGATGTCAGAACATAGCTATAGAACCCTGAACCTGGATATGGCCTTCTGCCTTGCTTTCATGCTTTTTCAGATATGTGTCAGATAATTGTGTTTTAATTAGTCTGTCCTGAAAAATTTCTGGTCAAGGGCTGCTCTGTTAATATTTAGAATGTTTCTTTACATGTTTAGCAGTTTATTTACATGTTTTTCTGAACTCAAACTTCCTTGGATCATTGATTTCTTTGTTACATTCATGTGTAAGAGACACTGAAACTGAAGTAAGATTGCCTATAGCATTAGATTGTGGTCCCCCCCCACTTTTTTTCAGGTTCTCAGATCCCAGGTCCAGCAATAAAGATCTGCACAGGTCAGCTGAAAAGTTGACAACCGTGAGGACAAACCAGCTACTTGGCATTTTTTCAGATGTGCACTTCAAGTGAAACATGTTCTGTGTCTAATGACCATGGTAGATTTATAGTGTTGTCATGACTAAAACACCATTTTGATAGACTGATATTAAATATTCTAGTTCAATAAAGGACAAGTTTAATTATGCAGGAACAAATAAGCCTAGTACATTTTATCTTCTTTTTGTGTCTTTGAGTTGTGTATTTCCATTGGGCAGTTTGGTAATGCAGGTAGAACACACTGCTTTAAAGCCAGAATGACATAGGTCCAACTTTCCCTTCTGTACACAATGTTTACTAGATTTACATACTGTTAGCCTTTGCTTCATATGTCAACAGAAATGACAGCCACTGCACCAAGTGTTTAAAGGATCAAGTGATGGTATGTATTAGAAGGAAATAAGAGCTAATAGAAGACAAAATGTCTTTCTATTATTTGTTTGAGTCAGGGTTCCACTGCCTGGAACTTGCTAGTAACCTGGACTGAATTTCCTGATTTTCCTACCTTTTGAGTGCTGGGATTACATGTACGAATGTAATGCAATTGCGTGACTCATATCTTTTGATTATAAGATAAATTGCAATGAATTTTAAGACTATCTGAATACAAGACAAAGAGTACGCACTTACTCCAATAATAAAAAAGAGTCTGATCATTTCTAAATTATTTGTGGGAAAAGGAAAGAGATCTGAGACTTAGGAAATGAGAAGACAGATAGAGTATACCAAGATGGAGGGAAGCTATGACCCAAAGAGGAGAGGGAATAAGAAATTTCCTGGGGCCAATAAGGCTCTTGACAAACAAGAGGATCTAACTTGCTTGCTTTTTTTCTTTTTTCCTTTACTTTCTTTCTTCCCCCCTCCCTCTCTCTCTCTCTCTCTCTCTCATTCTCTCTCTCTCTCTCTCTCTCTCTCTCTCTCTCTCTCTCTCTCTTCTTTCGACAGTCTTCTGTAGACCAAGTTGGCCTCACACTTGCCTAGGATGATCTTGACTTTCTGGTCCTTCTGTATCTACATCCCAAGTGCTGGATTAACATCATGTACTACAATACCCCATTTTATGCAGCACTGGGGGTGGAACCCAGGGTTCTATGTATGCTAGACAAGAACTTTTTGGAACCATCTCTTTGTAGAAATAAATTTATTGCTTTTTTGTTGGAAACATGTCTCCCTGGGTTGCTCAGGCTGGCCCCAATTCCCTAGGCAGAAGTAATCCTCCTGCTACTGTTTCCCAAATAGCTAAGACTACTGGCATCTAGCACCATGCTAAGCTGAGTGGGATTGTGTCTTCAAGGAATTTAGATTCACAGCAAAACTGAATAAAAGACAGATTTCCCATATACCTGCTGCTGCCCCATTGTCAACACCTACACCAGAGTGGTACAGCCTGTCACAGCTGGGAACCTACATTGTCACTATTGCCACACACCATCCGTAGCTGGCACCAAACCTGACTCTCTGTATTGTGCCTTCTACGTGATTCGACAAACGCATGGCAATGCACAATTATAATATCACACATTGTTAAGCACCCGATTTGTGACCCTATACTCTAAGTTGGCAACAAACCACAACCTATCCTCCCTGACCCCCCACCAAAAGGAGATATTTATCAGATAGAACTGAACCCTGTAAAAGCACAGCCATTGTAGAGTGTTGGTTAAAGTCTCTTAAATAGATTTGAGTGACAGGACACACCTATAAAAAATAAACCACCACCAGGGAGGCACCCAAAGACACAAAAACACTGGAGAAGGAGATTTGCTTTCAGAAAGTAAGTGGGGGAGGTAGATTGGCTGGATTTACTCCCTNTCCTCCTCCTCCTCCTCCTCCTCCTCCTCCTCCTCCTCCTCCTCCTCCTCCTCCTCCTCTACTTAACTATTTATTTATATGTCATAGGCCAAAGTGATCACAGGAGGCCGAGAAAGGAGGGGACAGGGTAAAGTCAGGCAGGTTTCCTTTTGGTTACCTGCAGCATGATTTCCAGGAGGTTGGCAGTCTGTGACAGCCAGCTCTCCTGTCTGTCAAGGAGTAAACAGCTGCAAGTGTTTCATGCTGTTTAGAAACAAGGAGGGGAAAGAAATCTGTTTAAAGCAACGTAAAACCATCGTGAAATTGTACTTTACTCGAAATGGTCATTCAGAACTGCCAAGATTGCTAGGTTGACAGCTAGAAGCGGGAGAGAGTTGTGGGAAGTCTACTTTCAAGGCAAAAGTAGGACTTATCCAGTGACCGCACAAATAGATGAAGGGATTTCCACCACGCCAGAGAGTGGAAGGGTGAGATTCTGAGGACAATGGTGCAGATATGGCTGGGGAGACAGAAAGGGCGCTTGGAATCAACATTCTTCCTCTGAGCAGTGAATGCTCAGTTTGATTTTCCTTTCGGAGCACTAAAATTTTAGTAAAAATGTTGTCTTGAGAAATAGAAGTTATGATATGTTTAGGCGATTGTGGAGGAGATGAGTTTTTTTTTTTTTTTTCTTTTGGTATTATTCAACAGATAGAGGGACTGAAGAAGACAGCGCCAGGACCCGATCCAGATCAAAGTCTTGAAATTCCCTTTTGACAGCAAGGGACAGATCCTTCCACGGATGCTCCAGCATTAGGTCCTCTGCGCCCTCCGCGATGCCCGCCCGCCCGGCTCCTGGGCTCTGCGCCGCTGCCGCCGCAGCCGCAGCCGCAGAGGATTGGAAACAGGCACCGAGCGCTCCCTAGGCACCTAGAGACCTGGGTCTTCAACCGGAAAGCAGACACAGCCATTGCAATTCCGGCCTAAGCCGCAAAGCCCCGCCACCGCGGACGAGGCTGTGACGCCCCCTGGTGGCCAGAGGAATGGCCATCCGCCCGAGGCCGCGGCTTGCTGAGCGTCCGGAGGCGGAGCGTCGACCAAGCCCCTCCCCTCCCCCGCAGAGGTCCCGCCCCCTCCGCGCGCTCGCTCGCCCACCCGCGCATCCCCGCCCCCTCGTCGACACCACGTTCCTGCGGGGGCGCGCGCGCGCTCCTAATCCCCTGCCTTCCGGCTCTGCCGAGCGGCTCGGCTGGGCGCAGGCTGTGCGGCGGCCGGCGGGGTCGCCTTCGCTGGAGACCTCCGCTGCTGGCTCTGCTTTCCGGCCGGTCAGGCGGCGCGATGACGGCGTCCCGCTTTCCCGCGTCTGGCGCGCCCGGTGACCGCTCGCCCGCTGCCGGGCTGCGGCTGTGACCCCCTGTCGCCGACTTTCACCCAGCGTCCGGCTCGGAGCTCGCTGGCCGGGGCGGGGAGAGGCCCTGGTAGTGTCAGGAGGTAGGCTCTCAAGCTCCGGGGTGGTGCCTGCGAACGTTATTTGTCTGTTACCTGTCTGGTTGGTAGGCAGTGATGTCCTCGACACAGTTGCAAGGGTAGGTACGAGTAATACCGTGGACTGATACTGAAAAGAAAACGTGTTTGGTGTTTTCCTGTAGGTTTCAGAGGCTCGAGCAGCTACTTCTGTGGTCATGGAGATCGTCGTCCACCAGGATTACTGTGTGGTCTTCACCCAGCCTGCCACCACCCCCTAGCCTCAGCCTTGGGTCCTGATTTCCACCAATGAAGTTTTTTATTCTTTCTTGAATCATGTGACATCACTTCTTCTCCGCTGTTTCCCTTTCAGCTGCCAAATCCATTAGGTGTAAGTTTCCGTTGGTTTCAAGTACTGAGTTGTTTGCTTGTCCACTTGCAGCCCTACAGCTCACCTCCCGTCGCTATGATTTTCATAGGTACTCACTGGAGTCCTTGCCTTGAAGAGAGCATTCACACACTTGGCTGCCTGACAAAGACAACAGTCAGGCAGTGATTCTTCCAGCTCCGCTTTTCTGTAGGTCAAGTTTGCAAGCATAAGAACAGAAGAATTCTGCAAAAGTTGATCACCGTGAGACTGTTTTAGATCCCTTCGTTGGGCAATATACTTTCAACTTCTGGCTTCCAGTAAGGCTGCCCTTTATGAAAAGAGCAAGGAGGAAGAAGAGAAAATAGGACCAATTGGAGCTTTCCCTGGTCATAGGAACTTGAAGTTCCAAAATGCAGGTGAAGAGACTCAGGCTTCCTTTGAAAACTGTTGCAAGTCTAAGTCCCAGGTAACGACTGAGGGCTCTTAAGCCTCCATTTTCTAGTCCCTTTATGTTCAAATCTAGGTTGTTAATTATCTAAAACATTAGACTAAAATGTTGGGGAAACGTAAGCGTGTGGTGTTGACAATTAAAGACAAACTTGACATTATTAAGAAGCTTGAAGAAGGCAACTCTTTTAAAAAGCTTTCTGTCGTGTATGGGATTGGCGAATCCACAGTTCGCGACATTAAAAAAAACAAAGAAAGAATTATAAATTATGCCAACAGTTCAGATCCTACAAGTGGGGTGTCCAAACGTAAATCTATGAAGTCATCAACATATGAGGAGCTTGATAGAGTTATGATAGAGTGGTTTAACCAACAGAAAACAGACGGGATTCCAGTGTCTGGGACTATCTGTGCAAAACAAGCCAAGTTCTTCTTTGATGCCCTGGGGATGGAAGGTGATTTTAATGCCTCATCAGGCTGGCTAACTCGGTTTAAGCAGCGCCACGGCATTCCAAAGGCTGCTGGTAAAGGAACAAAATTAAAAGGGGATGAAACTGCTGCCAGTGAATTTTGTGGTAACTTTCAGGAATTCATGGAAAGAGAAAGTCTCTTACCAGAACAAATTTATGGTGCTGACCAAACTGGACTATTCTGGAAATGCCTACCCCCAAGGGCATTGGCTTTTGACACTGACCAGAATACTTCGGAGTACAGGTCAAGCAGAGAGAGAATCATCGTTATGTGTTGTGCAAATGCCACGGGTTTACATAAGCTTAATCTTTGTGTTGTGGGGAAAGCAAAAAGACCCCGTGCCTTCAAGGGAACCGACCTTTCCAACCTTCCTGTCACTTACTTCAGTCAAAAAAGTGCATGGATCGAGCAGTCTGTTTTCAGACAGTGGTTTGAGAAGTGCTTTGTGCCACAGGTGCAGAAGCATCTGAAATCCAAAGGGCTTCGAGAAAAGGCAGTACTGCTTTTAGATTTCCCCTCAGCGCATCCAACTCAGGACCTGTTGAGCTCAGACGACGGCAGGATAATTGTGAAATATTTGCCACCAAATGTAGCAAGTCTCATTCAACCTATGAGCCAAGGAGTTTTAACCACAGTCAAAAGATATTACCGAGCAGGACTTATCCAGAAATACATGGATGAAGCAAATGACCCAAAAATGTTTTGGAAGAATTTGACAGTGTTGGATGCAATTTATGAGGCCTCAAGAGCTTGGAACATGATAAGATCAAATACCATAACCAGAGCGTGGAAAAAGCTTTTCCCTGGCCATGAAGAAAATTCAAGCGTGAACATTGGTGAAGGAGCCATTTTAGCTGCTAATTTAGCAACAGTTTTACAGAATACAGAAGACTGTGAACATGTTGACATTGAAAATATTGAGCAGTGGTTTGACCCTCGGCGCAGTGACTCAAACTGTCAAGTCTTAGCTGACATTGTAGATGCTAAAAGCCAGGCTATACCTGCTGAGCAAAAGCCTTCCAGGAAGACCAGGAAAGCAGAACTAAATCCAGACAAGCATATTAGTCACAAAGCTGCACTTGAATGGACTGAAAATTTGCTGGATTATCTAGAACAACAAGATGACATGCTACTCTCCGATAAGCTGGTATTGCGGAGGCTTCGGACCATTATAAGAAGAAAGCAGAGGATTCAAAATAAAACTCATCTCTAGCGTTCCTTTCTGTTGCTATGTGCTTTCATCTTTGACTTGTTTGCAGTGGTGTTATCTAAGACCAGATAAATGTTACGAATCATTTTAGAATTAGATGGCGCTTTGGATTACCTAAATTACAGCTCTTTAATGTTGTCCCCAAATGAGCAATGACATGGAATTCATTATTTCTACACTGTGTTATACTAATTAGATCACAGGGTATCCAAGGCTGGGATATGTTGTATGGCTGAATTTCACCATGTCTAATGATGGGCTGTGCACACTGCAGGCACTCAATAAATCTTACTTAAATTTAATTTTGATGACTTTTTCTGAATGTCAGTTTGTAAAGTAAAATATATTGGGGAGTGAGTTTAGCATTTCCATTGGTGAGATATTTAAGAGAGTTCAGCAGTATTTGTGCTTGAAGAATGGTACTAGCCTTTTCTTGGTGGGGGGAGGGAAGGGGTGAGAAAAGATGAAGAAAAGCCTTACATTTCAGTTTCTTCATCGGCTGGATTGGATGCTTACAGGGTTTTTCTTGTAACATAAGTGCTGCTTACACCACTCAACAACAACAAAACATGGTAATGGAGTAGCTGTTGCCCTTCTCCGGTTGTGTGTACAGTATGTGTGGAATAAAAAAGGGAAACTGTTTTCACAAAAAAAAAAAAAAAAAAAGAATGGTACTGTGGCGTCAGTGAGCTGGATTATAGTAGTGTAAAGCCTTGCATACAGCATTCCTTTCTGGCAAAATTTAGGCAGCCAGCTACTGAAGTTGCCCATTTCTGAGTGCAGTGAAGGAAAAGGCAGGTAAATATTCTGAGAGAAGGGCACGGAACTTCAGTTTTGTTCTACCTGACGAAAGCTCTTCATTTGTGTGGAAGGACTTCAGCCTTAATCCAAGAACCTGAGCTTTGATTTCCCAAAGAATGTGTTTAGAAGTAATAGGTAAGCTTCGTTTAACCTGTTTAAAAGGGTGTCAGGAATTTTTAATAAGCTTGTTGGCATTTATGTAATGCTGTAAAACTTTAAAAAGTACACCATTTTTTTCATGGAGTGTATTTTTTGTGAAATGCCAAGAATGTCAGCATATATGGAGATTGTGGACCATGCGGGAAGTCCTGGAGAACCCCTCGTTGATTGACATCACCGTGGCCAAGGTTGCACATATCTTTAAAACAGGATAATTACCTGTTTCTCGGAGCGTGTAAGGATTAAATGAGTTAATATATGACTTTTAATACTTGGGTCCTAGAAAAGAGCGATTCTTGAGTGTTAGCCGTGGTTCCTATACTGCAGAAAGTAGCAGTACTGACCAGATCCAGTGTGGAACTCAGAATGATGTTTCTGTATTAGGAAACTCCTTCCACAGGAAGGAAGATGAACAAAGTATGTGTAGTTTCAGTTGAATGTGATTATCACTGCAATAAAAATTAAAGGGTTAATCCTGCTCACTCAAGGTCTTCTGGTTAAGTGTGCAGGGATCTCTACAGGACAGGTAAGTTGCAATAGGGAACAGAATTGTTCCAGGCTGTTGTTAGCACGTTGTAAATCAATGTTAGATTTGCTCTAGAAGAAAATCTGAATATTGGCATGTCCATTGAAGCAATACGATCCCTTTAAAGTACATAAGCTAGCAGGAAGCAGCACACAGTTCATTTTATCAGGCTATAGTAACAGAATTGGTGTAAAGAATCAAGGAAATGTCACAGGAGACTGGTTCTGACAGGTCCAGCTGTTCAGAATAAGATTCCTTGTGGTCTGAGAGGAACTTTGAGCTCTCATATAACATCTTTTTTTCCTGAGGCTGTGATTGATAATATTCTGCCCTTTGATCAGAGGTTTCAGATTATAAATACCGTTTCTAGAAGACTTCTAAGTCTTCTCTGACAATGTTTTTCTTTTTTAATTTTTTTAAAAATAGATCTTTTTAAATTTATTTTTATTTTATGTGCATTGGTATTTTGCCATAGGTGTCCAGATTCATGGAACTGGAGTTACAGATAGTTGTGAATTGCCATGTGGGTGCTGGGAGTTGAACCAGGTCCTCTGGAAGAGCAGTCATTGCTCATAACCACTGGGCCATCTCTCTCTCCAGCCCCCTCAAACTTTTCCTGTTTCTCTCTCTCTCTCTCTCTCTCTCTCTCTCTCTCTCTCTCTCTCTCTCTCTCTCTCTCTCTCTCTCTCCTCCTCTCTCATTCCCCCTTCCTCTTTCCCTCCTCTCCCCTCCTTCCCTTTTTGCTTTTTCAAGGGTTTCACTGTGTAATAACTCTGGCTGACCTAGAGCTCTCTTTGTAGAACAGGCTGACCTCAGATTCACAGAGATCCACCTGCCTCTGCCTCCTGAGCGCTGGGATTAAAGGTGTGCGCCTCCTGGCCCAACAACAGTTCTTATGGTTAACACGTTTTCCTCAAACTGCCCAGTTTTGCCTACCTGATCATCTTGAGGAAATGGAATTCTGCACAGGTGAGTATTGAGGCTGGAGCCACACATCAGGTACTAGAAAACAGTACGGTTTATTCAAGAGAGCTGTAGCTACTAGTTAGCTTATACTGTCATAAGGCTGCCCATTTCCCAGGTGTACTCATTCAATCCCATGTAGTAAAATCTGCTACTTCAGGTTTCTAGTGCCAGTTTTTTTCTTTAACTCAATTTCAAGTAATAATAAATCATTATTTTAAAAACAAACATTGCCACTTGGTGAATGATGTAAAATCATCTTGCATACCTAGCTGTCCACATTTCAAGGAAGAATAGGTTTATTGGAGGCCAGCAGATTTGAAGCACCAATGCTGGCTGCTCTGATCTTTCTGTATGTAACCTTAGGAGCTTTTTGTGCTTTCATGAATCTTGGTTTTCTTGGGCATAAAAGGGGGGAAGGTTAAATAGGCATTATCTAGATGCTGATATACAGCCCCTTAAGTACCCCAGTGGCTATTGAGAAATCTGTTTCCAGGATCTTCCTTGAAAGTGAGTCACAGCCTGTGGTAAATGTTTAGACTTCCAGGAGTCTGAGGACCTATGCTGAGATTCCAGGCATAGGCCCACCCTGGGAATACTGGCTGGGGTGTATGCACAGGCGGGAGGATGTTGCAGTCCACAGACCCTTGGGTATTGTTAATTAACAGGGCCATCAAGTCATTAGAAACAGGCAGAGCCTGTCCTTGCCACAGTCTGGGAAAACTGGGCTAAAGTCGATGTTCTTTTCCACGTGGCAGAAGGCAGGTGTTAGTTCATATATTATAAGCAGAAAAACAGTCTGCTTATGGAAATGCCAAGCCGGGGAGTGAAAGAGCAGGTTTGGACCAAGCAGCATCGGCAGCAACGACATTGATTGCTGTGGAATCGATGAATTTGGAGACGACTGGACAGGACTAGTTCTCATTCACTTTGTTCCCACTGTCACCCTCATGCCAGAGTGACTGCTGCAGGTCCCTTTCACTCCCAAATATCCCACATTACAAGAAAAACTCGATGGTTTCCCTAAAGACTAAAGTGGAGGAAGGTAATTTGACCAAGACCAGAGTTACTAGGATCCAGGAGGGGAGTTGAAGTTGGGCAGTGTGGCCTACTAGCCGAGTGCATGGTAAGTGGTGTCCCACTAAGGGTTGAACCGATCTTCACCATCTCAGTGCCCAGCATGATACCTGGCTTTTTTTAGAACCCCTCCTAAGTGTGGACGCTGAGGAGCGAGGCCTGTAACCAGGTGTAACTCTGAATATTGTACAAGGTAACATTTACTTTGTGATCAGTAACACCAGTCCTGTGAAATGCACTAACCATTTTGAAAGGAAACTCAAGTGTAGGTGACAGAGATCCAATCAAACACTCCCACCTAAGACACCCGTTTTCGGCCCTCGGAAAAAATTGTATTCCTCCATATCTCAAGGACATCCAGACTTCAGGAATCCAGGGACACACTGCCAAAACCATTCAGACCATCTTTCGGTGCTGAGCCTAGTCATGCTACATACATCTGGAATCCTAGAACTCAGAAAGCAGAGGCAGGAGAATCTCCCTTTTAAGCAAGGGCTTCATAGCAGGACCTTGTCTCCAGAGGCAAAGGCTAGATAGCTGGATAGTAGCTGAGTGCCAGAGTGCTTATCGAGCATGCACAAAACACTGGTTGTGATATTCCTACCACAAGACAAAATCAGAAACAAAGAAAAGAACTGAAAACAAACACTTTCAGTTTCTAGTAACATGCCTAGGGTATGTAATTAAAGGAAAAGCTGTCTCCACTGTAAAACCCAGGGAGTCCAATGTCATTGTTAATCCATCAGGTGCAGAAAGTTCTTGCCACTCCCAGGTCCTTGCTCAAGGGGACATCATTCCATTTCCCTCTGATAAAAAGAAGCGTGGTCTGGGTTGCAGGGTATTTCCAGCCACATTTCCCAGTGGGAATCTACTCCGGGGGTGCTGGGAATGCTTAGAATCTCTCCATATGTGGCTTTCAAGAATATACCAGAATGGTTTAATTTTGAAAGCTAGAAATGAAAGGTGTTCTAGGTACATAATAAAATGAATAAGACAAAATGTTTTTCATTTTAATAACCACTATACGGGTTGATATGAACTATTTGGTAAAACTACTGCAGTTTTGAGTGTGATTTTCCTAGAACTCTATACAAACACATCTGAGAATTCTTATTTTCACACCAACCCTGTAATGAAATCACCTGCCAGCAGCACACACCAGGTAAGATTTCTGGGAGAGAAGATAACTTGGAATTTTGGTACAGGTATTTAATAATCTAATTCAATTTGGGAATGTTCCCTTTTTTAAGTTACAAGAGGAAAATTGAATGTGAAATTCAATCCTGTTAACCTGTGAAGTTCACCTCCACCCAAAATGCTTGGTTCTCAAGGCAATCATAACTTCTAACAAAATGTGATGTCGATGTTTTTTTCTAAGACCATGAAAATCATAGCTACCCTGTCATACTCTTCAAAAGTTTTGGATCTCCTGAGACATTGTTTCACACACAAAACACGATTAACTTTTCAGCTCCCCTTCCACCAAACAGACAGTTGCTGGTTTGAGGTTATGCACACAGTATGTTAACAACCTTAATTTTTCTCTGCCACTGGGGAATGCTCTTAAGACTTCACACATGCTAGGTAAGAGTTCTACACCTCCAGACCCAGAATTATTTTGCATTTTTTGACTTTAACAATGAACATGACAATTGACTTCTGTAGAATTTTCATAATCTATGTAACATAAACAAATGTTGACTTAGGATAAATGCATTTGTATTTTCTTTTTGGACCACTGACATGTAATAAGTGGAGGGGTTTCACTCTCCCATTGTAGTAATGAGAAGTTTTCCGAATATTATATACAATACTTGAATTAGTTTCTACGAAAAATAGAGTATAGTTTTTTTCTGGAAAAAAATTTTCACCTCTATAAATTAGAATTAGTTGCTAAATTGGCATCCTACATTTTAAAAACGCTTCCATCATGGGGAAAACAATATTGACTGTCCTTACATTCCAGACACGTTTCTATCTGTGTAATGGGGATTTTCTTAATGATACATGATAATTTTAAGTTCTCTGAAATATGACTTAAGAACTGCATAAATCTAGGCATTGTGGGGGAAATCCTTTTAATCTTAGGACCTTGGAGACAGAGACTGGCAGATCTCTTTCTGATTGAGGCCAGTCTGGTCTACATAGTTCTGGGCCAGAGAGATCTATGTGGCTAGACTTGGTCTTCTAAAATTATTAATTAATTAATTAATTAAAACTGCAAATCTTGTCTTTCAAAAAAAGACTGATACAGATATTTTCAACTAGTAAACTTATATTCACAAAATATATTTTATATTTGGATGCAAAAGTTAAAAATTTAAAATAGAATCACTTTCAGCTGTCATATTTCATTATACTATTAATTGATTGCACACATCCAGATGTTTTACTAATTTAGGAACGGAAAGGGCAGGGTAATCCCTGCTAAATTGTTGAGATATTGGTCATTAAAAGCGTAACATTTTGTTCCCTTTAAATTTAAAAAATGAAGAGGTCATGGCATATAGCCATTTAGTGGTTTTCCTTGTATCTGGATTAAACCTGGTAATAAGTTTCTAGATTGTTCCAGAAGAGCTTGTTTCCCTTGCTTATATGTTCCAAACTATCCATGTTATACACCATAATGGGGTTTTCTTGTGTTTCCCCACACTTTAGGTTTCCTGTTTGAACCCACTATCCCTACTTTCAGAATAGAAAGCTCATCAGGTCTCCAGCTGCCTTTAGGCAGCCCATCTCCCGCCCCCCCCCCCCAGCCTTGGTTGAAATGGCCATGACAGTTTGGAGGGCTACTGGTGAAATATTTCAGAGATTGCCCCCATTTATTCTGAAGCATTGAAGAGAAGTCTGTGTTCTCTCCTGGCCACTGTAATACAGAGAAATGTGAAGGCACTGTAATTAAGTGTTCTGTGAAAA